TAGCATTTTGATCATGTCCTGGTAACGTAACCTGGAGTTCCCAACATGCGGCTTCCGAATACTCAGCTGACCATACAATAGATTTTTCGGTATCCGCGTCGGCCGGTGGCTGAGTGGTCTGCGCACTTGATTTGCAAACATAAGGTCCCCGGTTCGAATCCGCGTAGGGGTGGGCGTCCTCGCGGTATCCACAGCCCGCACGGTACTAGTAGTAGTATCGCGGAGCGAAACTCCGGTACGGCGTACAGCTGGCGGTATCCTCGTCGAATCCATACGCTACACATGATGGAATCACCTCAGGTGCCTCAGCAAGAGCATGCAGTCCAGTGCACTTATCCCACTTTGACGAAACACTTCCGTGTCAGCAACTCTGTCGACCAGTCCGATGCGCAGAATCCGCCGCAAACACCGCTGATGGGACCGCTCGATATCTCACATCCCGCCTGTACATCATCCACCTTTCACTGCTGTATAGAAGAACGGATAGCACTATAGATTTGCACACCATCAGCTTCGTGCCAATGATAAGCCGATGGTTGTTCCACACTCGGTACTCTAGCTTCCCGAATGCCGCCGCTGCCTTCGACATGCGGATACGCAGCTCACTGTGTATCTGCTGATCAGTCGACATCACACTCCCAAGGTAGCAGAAGCGGGAGGTGGTTTCCAATACTTCAGCACCAATGCTGATTCGCGGCAATATTAAGATTGCACCTCCGGTGAAGGCTGAAACAGACAGACAGTTTTGCTTGTGTTGATGGCGAGCCCGAATTTGGCCGCTGTCGAAGCCAGAACACTAGTCACGCGCTGCAACTCATCCGCGTTGTGTACAAACAACGCACAGTCGTCAGCAAACAGCAACATACAGATAATTGTATCACAGACTAGAGTTCTCGCACCGAAACGACAGATGTTTAGCAACCCACCATCAATACGATGCTCCACACGGACACCGTAAGCACAAGCCGTATCAAAAGCACATCATGGCATGAAGATATGCATTAAACAGGGCAGGATCTGTGACACAACCTTGCTTCACACCAGAGACAACTGCAAAGTCATCCGAGGTCTTTCCACTAAGCTGCACTCTCGGCCGCATACACTATGCATACATTCTACATATATATATATATATATATATATATATATATATGGGTGCCTAATGCTGAGCTTGATGTTACATGCATCATGCTTTTTTACCGCGCTCACGCTACACAGCATTCCACTTGAAGAGGATCTTCCTAATATGGCAAGCAATGTTCCACTTTAGTTGCTCTTACCAGTTGTGTTGTTTTAGTTCATATTCCATGACAATTTCGAGTGTTTCTTTCCTTCAAATTCTTTGTTGGTTGTTTGATACCCCGGATGTGGTTGCGCTTGATGTGAATTTTGACGAGGTGCTTACCTGTCAAAAAGCCACGACTTTATTACTAACTTCCGGAAACTGTTAATCTTTACTGATTGGGACGAGGTGTGCGTGCCTTTTAGCCATGCTAGGCTCAAAGTGTGGTTTCATCCAGTATGGAGCGGACTACGGTCCAGCCACTATCTTGTCTACATCTGGTACGCATAAGGTGGCCAGATTCTTCACACGCCAATGCGGGACGCCTAACCTAACCCCCGGTTTTTGCAGCATATGCAGACCGTACAAAATACTGAAAAGCTAAATAACTGCATGGATTAATTCACTGCAATAACAAAAGGTACTTACTTCATTAGTCAGTACAACGGCTGCGCGAATAAAGTTGATGGGCTGATTAACATTTGTGGCATGTGGAATCACAGTTGTAGAGCAATACTTCATAGCTAAATGTACTTTCCGTAGTAGACCTGAGCGCTGCATGCGCATGCCGTGAAGTAGTTCGCAGTGATGCTCGATGCTCTTGCTTTCAAAATTGTAATCCACCATAAGCATAGCCTTCAATGTTCGAACGCTAAGCTACGTTTTCTCGCTTGTCCAAACAGTGTTCATGTGTGTGAAGATTCTTTCAGTAGGTGCATTAGTCCGAGGGCGAAAGAAAATAAATGCAATAGGGTTTTGTATTTGTTCACATGGGACCGAGTTGACCTGGAAATGGGAAATCACTTCTACTCACCGCATGTCACGGTCTAATTGTTGACAGTTCCAGTCGGCAATTTTGTCGGCTGATGTAAACCTACACACCTTGTTAACTTTGTCAAACAGCTTTTTGTCACTAATTTCTAGAACACTGACGCTTGCTTCAACTTTTTCTCAGGAGGTTGCTTGTTTCAAAGTCACCCAACTGAAACCACTCATTTCTTGAAATTGGTTCAGTCTGTAGATAAGCCACGCAATTGTCGCAGCAGCTAAGGATACTTTTCATCATTTCTGTTTTGTTGATGGGACCGTCTTGTTTGAGTTGGCCAATTCGGATCTCTACCTTGTTTGGAACAAAGCTGTTTTTGCTCCTGTCCTTGCGCTTCTGCAGGAGTTCGTACATGGTAGACGACACTTCCAGTGCTGAATTATTTTGTTGCTCAAAGTTCAATACAGTAGCGTGAAAATGATAGATGTTGTGTATAAAGAAGAGCCACAACTCATTTCAGGGGTTTCCAGAGCAACATTGTAATACTGGAGGACACTTAAGAGATAAAAAAAAATAATTAGGATTTCAACGCTGAAAAGAGCTTCAGGATGCTCTCCACTGATGGCATAATTGAAAGTCATCTGGTTTCCCCATATCCTAGAATGCTTTGGCCCTCGACCATTACAGAGTCACATAATTCCTTCGGTTCTTTAATACGAACAGCGTAAATATAAAAGCGTACATATTTTCACCACAACTGTTTCAACATCAATAGGAAGACAGTCAGCTGCAATTTGCAATATGCTATGGACAAAGTGAGCCACACAAGTAATTTCCACAAGTGTTTCTCCAATCGAAATTTAATTTCGCAAATACATTGTTTTGTCCCTACCTCTGAGTGCCATCGAAATTTGTGTTGGCGTTCTCAGCGCAAAATCCTACCGGTTTTCTGGTCATAATATTTTATTCCAACACATCCTTTACAAATTCACAAATGATGACCAGCAAGTGAGTGCAGATCTAATAACCAACACCCGATGATGGCACAAAATATTTCACAAGAAGCGGGAACCCCTTTAATTCCTTGTGGTTTGAGGCGTCTATGAAAATTGACACAAATTTTGGTAAGCACGGTAAGAAGACGAAAACTGGTAGATGCATGCATTTCGTATTGTCTCCTCAGTACCATTAACAATAACTGGTATGCAACTATATACTTAAATATGTGTGTGGTTGCATACCGGTTATTGTTAATGGTACCTTGAGGTTGGTCTCTGGCAAATGGGAACAGGATATTAGTTATTATTACCTCACATTTTTGTGGGCACATGCAAGCTTCGGCTCAACCAGTTTCTCTACCAACTTGCTGGTGCAATCCATGGAGCGGAAACTACCGTTATGAATTACAGTGGGATAAGCCAAGGTGCCTTCTGCGGCCACTAACTTGACCTATGTATTTCCAAACGTTGCTGACCGGATACAATTTGTTACAGGGTCAGAAGATATTACCGCAGACACTGCTACCTTATGGAAATTCGATTTCAGTTACTTTAAGATACCTGATCTGCTACCATAAGAGAGCAAATTCGGATTAATATGTGTCACCTCGAACATGCGAATCGTATTGCCTTCTTAATGAATGGAAAGTCGCTACCCAATTGTGTAGTCAACTTACACGTTCGTTTGGACATGATTTCCCCACCAAACTGTACTTAAAGCAGACGTTCGCCATTAGACAAATTTCATCATTGCTTTTCTACCCTCTTTTTATATTATTGCAAGAATTCTCCTTGCAGCGTTGCCCACCCACGCTGTAGACTACTCCGCCCAACTCATGCCCACCTACTTGTTGTGTGCATGCACCGCTACTGATTGGTTTTGTTTTTTTTCACCTACATTCTATATGCCTAAAGAGGACATACTAAGGTCTCTGACCTCCAAGCGGGATATTAGTGCGTCCCGCCTAGCATTTCTAAAGAAGCGGGACGACAGCTTGAAATGCGGGACTGTCCCGCCTAAATCGGGACGTATGGCCACCTCGGGTACGCATGATTCTCCAGTGACACTGAAATATTGCTACTGGGCATGTTGATGGAGGGTTGGCCCACTCTGGTGATGAAACGTGGCTCCAATCCACATGCCTCACGGTCTTATTCCGTCGGGTCTACCCTGCATATGTGGTGTGTGGATGAAGCTGTGGGTGGTGCAGCGCAAGCCACCTATGGTCCCCCTGTAGGCGCAGGTGTCCTATGGCTGTACTATGGAAACCGCAGTGACAAGCAAATCCGGAACCGGATGTCGCCTACCATATATGTAATGGGAAGCAGGGTTGGGAACAATCTTAGATTGTAAAATAGGAACCGAATATCTTGCAGTTTGTTGGCTGTAGGTCTGATTATGGACAAACAGGGTATTGGTAACTGGTGTCAATGGTGATAGGGTGGTTGGCGGACCTGTTGAGGACAGGGCTAAACTCGCAGTACAGCGGTTAGCAAGCAAAAGAGGCTGCCACGACACGTGTGGCTATTCCACTTGTCGATCAAGGTCATATGACCGTCAGCCGTCTAGACGAGTATATCACCCATTGGATTCATGGTTGATTGGCCAATCTTTTTTGTGATCGATCCCTGCCTTGCCATGAGCCTGTTTTCACGTTTCTCATTGGTCGATCGGGTAGGCGACCCGAGAGTGGCGTGTCGGTCTGGTAAATGCATGCAAGACTGGGCAGTACGCAAACTGACGCGCTTAATTGCGCAAGGTGGCCGGCTCACTGCTACCGTTCAGGCGAAGGAGTATCATATTACGGCTTGGAATTATAGCTGTACTAAACAATGAACAATTTACCAGTTCCTAAGACAACGGCCCCTGATTCCGGTCCGACTGATGCTTTTGACATGGGAGTGAGTGCGAAATTTAAGCTGTTATCCTTATATGGCCTATTTTGTCAACATGTTAAGTCCTTGCGTGTTTATGGCCCAATAGTTAGGACTTTTAATCCAATCTTTAGGCCAAAAGCAAGAGACTAGTCCTAGTGGCATCACCATCGCTTTATATATTTGTTAATGATTACTTGTTTGACAAGTGTTCTTGTTAATCTGCTGGTCAATTCTGTGGCCGATATTAGGTGTTCAGTCTTGCGTCTATATATATTTGCAAAAGTCTGCTAACAGATATAATGCCATCAGAAACCATGGGATTCAAACGAAGGTACAGAAACAGTAAAATAAAACACAACACAACAATGTCCATGGTTTCCTCAGAGGGCGAGATACTACCCGGTTGCCCAAGCCGAAGTAGAGTGTTGACTTAGGGGACACCACCCCGAGCCTTTGGCTGAATAGCCTGCCCGCAAGGCAGCGGAGCGAATTCAGGGAATCGCGCCCATTGGGAGCCGGTGACTGATCAGTTCATACGCCTTTCGTTTGTTCCTTTGTCAAACAGGGGCCCAATGCTCCCCAGAAGTTCAGCATAAGGTTGCTGGAATACAATGCTTCGCCAGGATGAAGCAAGGGGCAGTGACTTTATTTAGTGGCGAGTCACTTCCGCCACGTCACAGTGTTGTTAAACGGACATATGTGGCTTTTTATAGGGAGAACGCTTGCCAGGCGAAAACCCACCACGTCCTGGAACACTGCCGCCGAACCATTTGCTGGAACGGGAAAATCCCGAACCACCCAGCTGGCACTACGAGGAGGTTGTTCGGCAAGTCTTGCGTCTAGGGTCGATTGACCCGTCAGCACGTTTTCCGGCTTGGTGGAAATGAGCTGATTCAGGTTTCGCAGCCAGCTGACCTGAGTGTTCCACTATCCGATTCCAAGTCCAGTGAGAACTGGGAGAGAGCCACTGGCAACGAATGTGGAACGTTGCGGGCTATCCGTAGGTCCTACGAAACTACTATACCAGAAATCTTCATATCGTTCTCAAATAGTCTGATTTGGAAACTGTTGCGACGAAATATCAATTAACTACATCAAAACTCCCCTACTCATGAGTACTAACTTTCTTTGTTGCCACCGTTTTACTTTCATAATTTTCTTTATTGCTTCACGTGCCTGGCACAGCAGAACTGCTAGTTAGGTCACAAGGGCATTGGTTGGTTGACCACGGTGTGACCCGCGCGTATGGCTTTGGCTCCTAGATCGCAAATATCACCGTCGATGCATAGTCCTAGCTCAACGACGCACTCAAGAAGAAGTGTGCATACGGATTTCCTACCGCTCCAGTCTCACTTGAACTTGTTTTATCCCTTACCCAACTGTTCCCCGACCCATGCAACGGACATTCTAAGCCCAATTTTCGATTTTTTGTGTGTGTACGGGTTCTATGCGAAGGATAATCATTCTGTTTCCGATGATTTTCCATCGGTGCTTTAGGCATGTTAACACTGCTATTCTGTTATCTTCGCACGGCTTTTGCAACACTGCCACTTGGGAATCACTTTATTCTTACAACTCCTCCTAGGTCCTTGTTACCTAGGTGACCATTCCAGAAGTTGTGACGGTGTACGACCGCCTAGCTCAACACCGGAAAGTAGCTGTGGGTCAAAGTTCGTCAGAAGCCGGCGGATTGCAGTTTATCGTAGGGCGCATCGACCGGAATCGGATCGAGCAAATATATGAGGTCAGTTACGATGTGGTTAGGAAGCCGACCAGTAACATGTGCAAATATTAATGACTGCGAAGTAATGCGACGAATACGAAAAAGGGGTTCTACTTGTGAAAACCATATGAGGATTGGATGGATCAAAGGTAAGCAACGAAAGAGCAACAAAGTTTTCCGAAATATCAGTGCGAAAAACGTGGTCCGACATTGCGGATGCACACCAAAAATGGTCCTTAGCTTTCGAAAATGAGAAAAATGAGTCGCTAAATGTGTAGTGGAAAAATTAAACTAATAGTGCGTAACTACCTAAAAGAACTCAGTACTTGAGGTAAGAATGTTAGACCTCATCTTCGATAAAACGCGATCCTCGGTAGGCCGTTAGTTGCCCACTCCGTTTCGGAAGACGAAACTTTAGTCCGTACGATACTTCGGCGCGGTAGATCCGATGGTCGATGACCGAGGCAAGCAGACCGACGATCGACAGCACAACGCGCGTAGCCGAAACTAGAAGGCGAATCGAGATTTGATGTGTTTGTCGGTTTTTGGTCAGTAAAAGGAAAATACAATGAATAATAGAAACGGGTATACAAGGTACAATTGGAAAGATGGAATTATACAATCACTACACCATCGTTCTGAGCACTCAAGGTAGCGGCCTCTCCTAGCGTGTTGAATGCTCACGCACCTGAGTGTAACAAATTAAGGCCTAGAAGTCGCCGGAAGCTGTCACCAACTTGCACCATCTAAAGACTTGTTAGTGGGTGGACGATTCTGAAGCGTTACCCGCAGCCAGGGTGTCGGCTGTCCTACGCCCTGCGTTAAAGTCACAGTGCTGGTACCTGACGAACGCAAACGAATAGGAAACCGGTCATGGAACGGGATGTTGCAAGCGAACAATATCCGTTTCTCCTCAATTTCGCGATTGAAGACGTCCTGTCGGTAGCTCTGGAAGGTTACCAAAACTTTGGCCTGCAGATACTATCGGGTAGGCTAGGGTCCGACTTAGATTATGCTGGTATAGGAAAACGCTGCAATTAAGTCCCAGGGCAAAATCGACTTTTCCGGATGCTATCCGTAATACTTTACCCAGTAGTCTCGTGAATCGGTTTGGCGCAGTGTCTGTTGCAACGCGAAGTTTGATCTCTTGCTCGTTCCATGTTTAACATGAGATTGCTTCTAACTGAGTTGTTCTCCCAATGATCTTTATTTAGCGCTGCTCGTAAAGTACGAAAATTGGCAGATTTGTTTTGCCTGTCTTCCGACCCCAAATGTCTTGTCTTCATCATTGATCGATCTACTTTTCGGGCACCCCTGACGTCGATTACAGGGGGTGCTGGTTTCTCATAAATGCCGCTGTACCACCTGGTGACGTCACGAAGTATTTAGCTCACTGTTGCACTGTGGTTTTCCACGGAAATTGCACCATTTTGCTTCTATGAACTTGGTCGTTGGTACCGAGGGAGCTTGGATTCCGGTCGATAAGAGTGCAGGTTGCTTGCGTCTGTACGGAGAACGATCATCTTAATTGCTACCGTTCACAAAAACATTCAGCCTCATTTACATGTGCGCTGAGTTTGTCCGTCTGAATGATGTGCTAGACATGAGGCTGAACTTATGGGCCGACAACGCATATGCATGTTGAAACTCTCGTAAGCACCCGTGCAAATTACGTCCAGCGTGGCGGAATCTGCAAGAACGAGATTCATCTTCACCTCGTGATCGAATCGCTATATGTGATTGCATTGTCTGCGGCGTTACCCTTCTACATGTGAGCGTACAGGCAGAGATTGTTCACAATGCCAACCCTTCAGTGCATAGGCGCGAACGGTCATCGAATAAATGTTTTCTCTTAACTGTGCGAGATACTGTTCCTGCATAGGAACAGATACAATGGTACACAGTTGTTGTTTTTACAAATAATGTCATCCAACATAAGATTAGGGAGAATTCACTCCAGCATGTGGGGTTGGCATGTATGTAGACACTTGTGTGCATTATACCACTGTTACATATCTATTTAAGTTTATATCAGTATCACGTTCACTGTGTTGACTGATGGAATTAGTTGAGTATGCTTGGAAAATCAATCATCAATACACGTTAGCCGCGCATGCGAAGCACACCTCAGCTTAAGTGCCGCAATACAAAATTCCTAAAAATGTAACAATGCTAAAATCACATTGTGCATTGGGTTAGGATCGTTGTTAGCGGGAAAGCTAAAGGGAAGGTGAAGGACAATGTCACAGCACAAGCGCTATTGAATAATAAATAATAATAATGTGTCAGCTTTACGCCGTAACGGCGCTTCGCTGCCGCGCAACCACCAACAGTCGCGCGCGGGCTGAGTATACCGCGAGGACGCCCACCCCTACGCGGATTCGAACCGGTGACCTTATGGTTGCAAAGCAAACGTGCAGACCACTCGGCCACCGGCCGACCATGTCAGCTAATGTATCCAACCAAACGTGTTCAGCGTCCTTCGGACTCCAGCCAGGCAGTCGGAAACATCAACTGACGCCAACTTCGAAGTGAGGGACTTCATTTCTGTTGACCAATTCATCGCTTGGCCACCCGTCCTCTTCATCCATCTGGACCCGGGGCGTGCAAAGAACGCACGTCACGGGAGTCGGTGGGCTGGCCCAGCCACGTATGATAGGTTTCCCCCGGGTTCAGTTTTGTTTCCCTTTCGCACCCACTTAGTTCTTTACACTTTTGGCAAGCTGATCAGCCTAATACGTTTATCACCAGGATTACCCTGAACACTATTCTGAGCTTTAATTGAAAAAAGTAAGTTACCCGGTTGTCAGAACAGCACCAGGTGCACTTTATCTTTTTCGCTTTGATTCAACAGTAACAGTGTCCTATCCTGTAGATCACCCGTTTTGACATCATTGTGCTAGAAGACGGTCCGATAACTTCACTTGGCTCCATTATGTTGTTATTCTGGAGTATTTTTACGCGGATTTACCCACACATACAGCGTGGACGCGTAGGCTTAATCCAAGGCACTTGTGGGTCTCGCATGCAGGTTTCCGCGTTTGTGCATATGTAGGCAGGACCGGAGGCAAATGCAGGTGCTGCGCCGCCGCTGGATGAAACCATATCACCGGGTCCAATACAGAAGAATGGATAAGCGCTTGGGTGGATGGCGCACTAATTAGGACCCAATCCCAGACACGTGCTGGCGAGGCCGGACCGCGCAATCAATGTGAACACGCCCCGCCAAACACACCCACCAAACGCCTACGTCAGCCAGATCACCGGCATCACGTTAGTGATAGATTTCCCTCCGATCGAT